GGAGGTAGTTCGTAAAAGTGAGCATTGTTTTTAAAGTCCAAATAATGTGCCATGTTTTGTCTAGCCTGCTAATAGCCCTCAAGAAAAAAATTGAAAATAAGTGAAAAAGATAGTAATAAAAAGGACAAACAATAAAGGAGAGTTGGCACAAAAAGGTGTTTATACTCTTAAAAAAGTGTTTCTTGGCAGTCAAGCTATTGAGACACTTACATGTTTGCTTACCAACTTCACTCTTGTGCTTGAAAATTGTGATAGTAGATGTAGCAGAGAAAGTGTGTTGTGAATGTGTTCGTGACTGGTTGTGGTTTGGAATTGTGGAACACGTGGTTTGTGGTTGTTGTGAGTGGTCTTTTGTTGTTATGCTTGGTTCTTTAGTAAATTGTGGAACCTCATGCTATACATGTCACCACCCAAAAAGTCTTTTTCCCCATGCCCTAGACCCTAGTCAGTCATCTGAACCTGTGTCGTAGACTTCCAAACAAGCTAGTGGTGACACCCATCTTGTAAACTCTAGCATTTAGAGGCTATTGTCATGGTGAAGAGACATTAGGGTCATGTGTTTGAGTATGCACATCTTTTGCATCAAAATGGTCCTGACCCAACTAGTCGAGAGTGAGTGATTCATTCATCTTATCTTGTTCATATCATATACCCCATTGAGGATCTAGTTTTCTCGATCATTTGTTTATGCATGGGTAACTGTGATTGGTGAGTTGTCATAGCAAGTTATGTATTGGTTAATGGACAAAGTGAGAACTCTTTATTTGCATAGTCTTAATGCATTCGAATGTCGTGTGTGGTGGTTGCGTGGATTACTGTTTCTGTTATCCATATGTCAGTGCAAAATAGACAATGAGATTCATCCACTTTGTGCCCTTTGACATGTCCCGAGTTATTGTGTTACAGGTTGAAAGATTACCTCGTGTGTGATTGGTTTGCTTGGGGACATGCAAACGTCCAAGTTTGATTCGGGTGTTATTGCACCCCTTTATCTTGTGATGTTTGTTGTATTCGCTTCATATAAGGAGCAATTTTATGCTAGATTTGTGCGTGTTTTAGCATGTTCAGATCTTAGTAGGTGGAATTAGCTCGAGGATCAAAAGTCGAATGAAAGAGGGCAAAAATGGAGCAAAGATGGACAAAAGACAGAGATCACGTTGGGGAGATTATCACGGTCATCTGATCATGAAGATGGAGCTCAGCCCATGAATATGGACAACATTGACTCACTAAAACACAACACCAAACTACGACCAAGTGTAATAGCAGTATGCAAATGCAATATAGCGGGTTCAGTTTTAATTGTCAACCCGGGTCCTAAATTTACTATCTACTCCATGTAATTTTGTTATCTAACGGTAAAAATCGTTTGAAAATGAATTTAAGCTAAAGCAGAAAGAAAGCAGCAAGTTGGTCGGTTTGCTAAAGCAAGAGAAGAGTCACTCAGGAATGAGTCCCCCTAGCTCCTCAATTAAGTCCAAGTTGTAATTCCTTTTGGTTGCTTTCTTGTTGATTAAACTACGGAAGATCCGAATATAGTTTGGAATCTCTTAAGCTGACCAAGCCTTTTTAGACACAGTACCCAACAACTGACAAGCCTTCACCGGAGTAAAATTCTAAGGCAATTCACACAGATCTCCACTACTTGGAACGAATTCCAGTACAAAGCAGTGAATTGACTGACTCTCGTACAAGCAATTCACTCCTATCAATTGAAGGAGCTTTATCAACCTAATCAGATTCCATATATCATAGGTTAAAGCAGAAGTCAAGAGAATTTGACCAGGATTCAATTGACTCAATAAACATACCTCAATAGAATAAAATCACCCAGTATAACATCCAAAATTCATTACAAGCAAGATTCCTATCACATGGAACTAGGGTTTTTCATACCCAAGTGAGAAGGGGGATTACTCCATAGGGAGGGAGAGAGGGGAAAACAGAAATCAAAGCAGTCATACTCATAATGATGTGTATAATTTGCTCTAGGATGTCAATCTTTGCTCCTTGGGACGCAATCTAGGTTTCAATGGTGAGAAATCCACTCTGAATAGCTCCTATGTAGTTATGGCAATTTAAACTCGCCCCGCGGGTATTACCCGACCTGATCCGGGATGGGGCGGGTATTACCCGGCCCATAGTAGCGTGAGGCAGGGCATGGGTATCTTCTTTCGACCCGTCCCGCCCCGTTCTTGGCCTATTCTATCTCAATTTCTTACAATATCTAGACATATTTCTCCTGTCTTGACTTTTCTTCAACTAGTTAGAGTCATCTTTCTACTGGTAAGACTCAATTACCCATTCTATTATCACTGTTATTCAATTATATAGTGTTTTCCCCTTCTTTTTATCGCAAAAAGTATTGTGTTTATTTTTATCAAATTACATGTATATGGGTCGACCCGACCCGTACCCGTGCAAGTTTTACCCCCCTCCCCCGACCTACAGTAGCATGGAGTGGGGCATGGGTGTTGAGGTACCCGCCAAACCCCGTACCATTTCCATCACTACTCCTAAGTCTTCTTCTTCGTCACTTTCTCTCTCTAGAACTCTGTTTTGCTCCAAAAAGTTGAATCCCCTTCCTTCGGCTCGAATCTGCCAATTTACCCCAATACTAGGCAAAACACGATCGAAAGCACGATCATGCTTCCTCCGCCGACCGTGTTTTGACCAAATCCGCGTTTTACTTAAGTTGGAGACGGGGAAATCTACTATCTTATTTGGTAAAAAACGCTCGTATCCTTGAGAAACACGACCGTGTTTTGCCCTTCACTTGCCCATGCCTTGTATCCCTTTAGCAGTCTTCACTAGCCAGTCTCGCACTAAAAAGAACAGTTGATTTGGTGATGAAACACGACAGTGCTTTAGAGAAGCATGACCGTGTTTTGCTACTGGATCGTCACAACGCTCGACATAAAAACCACTGGTGGGTGCCATATGAAACACGGTCATGCTTGAGGCTAGGGACGACCATTTTTATCTCCAAAGCAGCCAAATGATATCCAAACGACCCAAAACTTGTGCCAAATTCTCCTTCTACCTGCTAGGACCTCAAATAGGACATACAACCACAACCTAGTGTAAAATAGGCTAGGCACAAACTCGAGAAAAAATGATCAAGAAACGAGGATGCAAACATGTGCAAATACGATGTTATCAATCATCTAGGAGGTTTCCTATGGATCACAGGCAAGTCATTTATCACGGTCACAAGAATGTGATATTTTCCAGCAGCCTGTGAAGATGATTAGTAAACCGGCAGGTCTTGCACAGAGATCACGTTCAACCGTTCAACGTCATGGGCGTGACTTTTGACCGTGAAACGAGTCCGACTAAAGTATATAAGAGAGAGAGACCTAAAACCTAAAAGGGGAGAGTTCTAGAGAGAGACTTGGGTCTTCTTCTTCTTCAAGATAGAGAGAAAGTGACGTGCTAAGAGAAGGAGGTAGAAGGGTTTGACTTACCCAAGGCTAGAGAGGGTTGAAGATTTCTTCTCCAAAGGGTGAGTCAAACAACTAGAAGGAAGGAGAATCATCTCACCATGGGTTTTTCTTTCATCTTGTTTATATTTCCTTTCCTAGCTTTGGAGTAGTCTCCCATTTCACTTGGATATTGGAAACCCTAGTCTGCGATGTGCTAGATTGTAAGAGGTGAACTCTATGTTTGTTGGGTTAGTGATTAATATAATGTTTGATATATTTTTCATGAATCTTGGGTGTTGTTTATCATATCTCAATGTTGGGTCAATTTGACTTAGAAGGAGGAACCCCCTTATAGCCCACATCTTGGCGATTTTGGTAACCCTTCAAGGGCAATTCAGGACAAAACTCAAAAATAGGATTATTGTCATGATGTCATCATGATTGGTTTCTTTTCATCGTTCCATATTAACTTTTGAGGGATTGGTTTTTGCAATACTTAGTCGATCGATTAAGAGAGCTAGATTTCCTAGCTGATTCTCACAATCATTAGTCGATTAAGGGAGTTGGGGTTTCCTAACGAATTGCATACTCCTCACGGTATATAATCACACTCATCACACTAGAGTTCCATTCGTTTTATCTTGACACGAGACTAGTAGGAACAATATACGGGTGAAGCTTTCTCAAATCAAATTCACCACAACTTACTTTGCTTGCTTGTTCAATCGTAGTTTCATTAGCTTTCACCACAAACTGTTTGCTAGATAATATATAAACAATTGAAGTAGTGGTACATAGACCGTTTCAGGTTTATATTAAAACACTTGCCCTATCCTACACCGGACTATAGGTTGCACTTAGCCTATAGTTGAGAATCGTGTAGTTAAGTTTGAGTCAATGGTAACATCATATGATATGACAGTCATAAGATTAATACAAACACGTGTTTTTTTTATGAATGACAAATCTATATTTCATAAAAAAACTCAATTAACTGTTAGCAACAACCCATGCCAACTAAGGTAGGAACTATCCCTATACATATGTAGAAACCAAAGATTTACTAACAATTCACATTGGACCTTCTACCTTATTTCAATATTTCTAATTAGCTGCTATAATTGTTCTAAATTTATTGGCGCTTTCCCAAATGCTCTCGAACGTCGCTCTCATCACTAGGGCTGGAAGTTTGGTACCGGTATTTGGGATATACCGAATATTGTACCGAATTTGTCTATATTTGATATTACGAAATACACGTATTATTTCTTGGGATTGAATTTCAATTGTTATTCGATATTAGGGATCGGTATATAAGCTAGTATGTATTACCGAAATACCGATCAATACCGAAATATAAGCTAGTGTGTATTTTATCCTCTCAACTAGACTCTCTCATTCACTACTACACGACCCTCAACCACCAAGAGTGTTATTTAATTATACATATATCATTCCATCACTATTAATAGTCGTATTATTTATTGGGATTGAATTTCAAATGTTATTCAGTATTAGGGATTACGGGATTGAGATCGGTATATACCGAAATACCGATCAATACCAAAATATAAGCTAGTGCGTATTTTATCCTCTCAACTAGACTCTCCCATTCACTACTACACGACCCTCAACCACCAAGAGTGTCATTTAATTATACATATATCATTCCATCACTATTAGTAGTCGTCTCTCAACCTCCAATTAATCAAATTAACGATTACCAATGATAAGAACTTGAGATGTCTCCTCTCCTGTAATCTCCTTAATAATATCATAATTCAAGACTCTTTGCTTAGTATTTTCCCCCTAAATTAAACAATAAAATGTAATTTATATATTTAATTATTAATTGCAAAGGTAATTAATTTTGTATTCGATAATACCGATTGGGATACCAAAGTACCGATTGGGATACCGAAATATTTAGGGATTGGGATTGGGATACCGAAATTATTTAGGGATTGGAATTGGGATTGACTTTAGGGCATAATTCGGTATTCAGGATTTTGGTATTTTGTATTGGGATACCGATACCGTACCGATTTCCACCCTTACTCACCACATCCAGCTTACCATAACATTTCAACGAAGCCATCCTTCCGCTTAGGGATGGCAACAAAACCCGAACCCATGGGTACCCACCCGACCCAACCCGGTCAATGCAGGTAAAATCCATGTTGACGGATTTTGGGCCGGGTTCGGATTTAAATCCGCTACACTATTCACCGGGTCGGGTTTGGGTTTAGGTAAACCCGCCCCATGGGTACCCGCCCACACACATATATTTAATTTTCCGGGTATATTTAATATTCTAAATAATATATCTTCTTTAGACAACTAATATTTTTTATATTTGTGGAGACATGTATAATTTGTTCATTCTAATTGTTTAGAATGAAGTTGATATTATGAAGTGGAGAGTGAAGAAACTTAGTTGACGAGGAAGAAGTTTTCAATTAATCTTATTGTTTATGGATGTTTATCTTTAATTTTGAACAATTTGTATTGATCATTTGCGGTTTGCTTGTATGCTCTAGATTGTTATTTTTTCTATGATTAATTTGTATGAGAAAATTGATGTTACTTTTATTTTGAAAGAAACTTGTTATTGTAAAAATTTTACCACAAAAACCCACGGGTACCCATGAACCCGCGGATACCCAGCGGGTTGGGTTGGTTTTGAGTTTTTCAAAGCCAACGGGTTTTACCCCGGATTTTTTTGGCGGATAAACCCATGAGTTTGGGTTTGGTTTTGACAAAACCCGGCCTAACCCGACTATTGTCATCCCTACTTCCGCTGCTTCCTAACAGTGACAATATTAATGAGTTGTTTACATACAAATTTTTGAAACGAAAGATATATGACATCATATTAATTAGTGGTTAACCAATACCAAACCGAATACTACCCTAATATTTTGCCAAAAATTAATAGACTGATGAAATTTTTGGTAAATAAAGATTTTGTATTATATTCGCTACTTTTTTTATTTTATTTTACCGGATGGATTTCCATCCGCACGCTTACGGTCCGAGGAGAGGAACGCCACCAAGAAATAGCGAAGTCCCACGGCAATGGCGGCCTCTTAGTAGTTAAGAGTTGCCAACCTCCTCGTGAACTTCCGTTCCCCGCCGACCACAAATTCTCGCTTTTCCTTCCAGAGGCTACTACAATCCCTCGATGGCCTCTATTACTCCGCATTCCGCTTCTTTCCGTCCCGGACGCCGCCGCCGTCTACACTCATCGCTTCTTAATTCGTCATTGTCGCCACGCAGCGTTTCACAGCTTAACTTGCGCCGCTTATCAAAACCTCGCCCGGCGCTGCGAGCTTTGGTGGCTGCGTCTTTGATCGACGACAAAGAGGGAAACAGAGGACGGATTAGGCAGTGTGGGAATTTCGCAACGGCGGCCACGAAGAGGAATGTGTTCAGCGAGGGAATAGTGAGCGCCGGCGGCGAGGAGGAAGGAGGGAGTTCAAATTCCTTTGAGGACGAGCATTTCGTGCGGTGGTTCCGAGAAGCTTGGCCCTATCTCTGGGCACATAGGGGCGGTACTTTTGCGGTTATTATCTCTGGTGAAATTGTTTCGAGCCCTTACTTAGATGCAATTCTCAAGGCAAGTTCGTTGCTTTACTATATGGGTAGTCATTTTTTGCTGCCAACCAGTGGATTGACGAATTGACCCTTCCAAACTGTGACTACTCTCGTTTTAAGAATCAGTCAATGATGGGTTCTTACATATGTCTCTTCTTGCAGGACATAGCATTCCTTCATCACCTGGGAATTAGGTTCGTGATCGTCCCAGGCACTCATGTTCAAATTGATAATCTTTTGGCTGAGAGAGGTAACTTGTTGAGGTCTCTCTACTCTTGTCAAGCTTAAATGCATCTTTTCCTAGTCGCATTCGATGGCAAATTATGAGCTAGGATTCCCTATTTGCAGGGCTTGAGCCTAAGCATGTGGGGCCCTACAGAATTACTGACCCAGAAGCTCTAGCTGCATCAATGGAAGCGGCTGGCAAGATTCGGGTAATGATAGAGGCTAAACTTTCTCCTGGACCTTCCATATGCAATGTGCGCAGGCATGGTGACAGTAGCAGGTGGCATGACGTTGGAGTCAGTGTTGCTAGTGGCAATTTTCTCGCGGCCAAGGTACAGTTTCAACACACAGCGATTGGCACTTTAAGAGGAGAACTGTTGTTTCTTTCTATTGCTTCCGCTTTTATTTGCCATTAGATACACTGGTCATGCCTTCATCTGAATTCTTTTATGGTGTCCCTTTGTAGAGAAGAGGAGTTGTTGGAGGTGTTGACTTTGGGGCAACAGGTGAAGTGAAGAAAGTAGATGTTGACCGTGTGATAGAGAGGCTTGACAGTGGTTGCATTGTTGTGCTAAGCAACTTGGGCTATTCAAGCTCTGGTGAAGTTTTGAATTGCAAGTATGTTGAACACCTCCTTTTCTATATACTCTTGAATGATGATTCATCTCCATAACTAGGAATTAACTGTGCAGAAATTTTCTGTCTTCGCTCAGCGAAATAGTTTGTCCAATTTGTAATATTTCTCGGATATGCAATGATACTGCCTGCATGAGTTTCTCTTGTGTGATGCAACAATGATATTTACCGAATCGTATCGGAAACAGCTGTTTATCATTCTATACGTTTTCAGCTCATATGAAGTTGCGACAGCTTGTGCCTTAGCAATTGGTGCAGACAAACTTATTTGCATCATGGATGGTCCTATTCTTGATGATAATGGGCACCTCATTAGTTTCCTAACTCTTGAGGAAGCAGACACTTTGATTCGTGAGCGGGCTAAGCAAAGTGAGGTAGCCGCTCATTACGTGAAGGCTGTTGCAGAGGAGGACCCTTCTTATTCTGTCAAAGACGCAGATTCTATTTCCATAGTTCCTTCCTCACAGAATGGGACAGCTGTCAACACTAAACACAATGCAGCATTTCACAATGGTGTTGGTTTTGACAGTGGAGGTGGATTGTGGTCAGGTGAACAAGGTTTTGCCATTGGTGGTAAGGAAAGACTTAGTCAATCTCACGGTTATTTCTCGGAATTGGCTGCAGCAGCTTTTGTTTGCAAAGTAAGTTGACAAAGAAAGTTGATGATGGATATGTTCATGTTTACTGGGTCTGCTTTGTCTTTTGCGCCTTATCTTGAATCTTAGTTTTTTCCAACCCAAGTGTGCTCCCATACCAATCTTCGTTTCTACAGGTGCTGTTTTCATCTTTTGTAATTAGTAAATTTGTTAGACGTTGTTCTTTTACGGAGTAGCAATTTGTTAGCAATAGTATGCTATTCTTTTTTGGAATTTGTCCCACAATTATGTCTTCTTGGTATTGGATGCTAAATTTATTTTTTGTTTGTACTAGTGAGCCCAGGATGGTGCGGTGCAAAATAGGTTGAATTTTCAGTCCACAAAACCTGTAATTAAATTTGTATTTGATGAAACAATGGAAGATCGAGTACAGTTACATCGTTGTATGAACATTTTTCTTCCTTCTAATGCCTGATTTTGCGTTTCTGAAATGAATGGTTTGGAAATGCAGAGTAAAACTCTTGGTTTATTTGCTTAGGTCATAGACGTGCATGTGATATTCGGATTTATCTATCAAATGATTTTTATGATTGCGTAATCCCAAAATCTGCTCTGCTGTTCTAGTTCAATCTGAAGTGTCACACCCTCTGGTTTATCTTCCTTTCAGGGTGGTGTCCAAAGAGTTCATCTGCTAGATGGTACAATCGGCGGGGTTTTACTGTTAGAACTCTTTAAAAGAGATGGGATGGGAACTATGGTGGCTAGGTTTGTGGCCGTCTGCAACTTCATTCAATAATATCTCATATTCATAAATGCAGTTGTTGATTCTTTGTTTGCCTACTTGCTTAAGTGTACGTGCAGTAGACCAGGGAAATTATTGTTATGTAATTCCACTTGATTGATATACATGGTCATGTTAGTAAACGTTCGTGTAGTGCTCTCAGCGATTCTTTCTATGTGCTGATTCACTTATGTGCAATCTGATGTCTCCCATCACAGTGACCTATATGAAGGAACCCGAATGGCTAGGGCGAATGACCTTGCTGGAATAAAGCAGATCATACAACCTTTACAAGAAGCGGGAGTTTTGGTCCGAAGGACTGATGAAGAGGTTGTTCTCTCTTGTGCTGCACTTTCACACTGCGTTGAACTGCTAGATACTTCCTAGATAATGCCTTTTCATTTGATCCAGAATTCACTGCTTAAATTTATCTCTATTTCTGCTTTGCAGCTGCTTAAAACGTTAGATTCGTATCATGTGGTGGAAAGAGAAGGTCAAATCATTGCTTGCGCTGCTCTTTTCCCTTTCTTTGAGGATAAATGTGCAGAGGTGGCAGCTATTGCAGTTTCTTCTGATTGCCGTGGGCAAGGGCAAGGAGACAAATTGTTAGGTATGTGATGTTTTCGCTATGAACCCATGAACTCTTGTTCTAAATGGGACTGAATCAGGCATTTCTTCTACAGATTATATAGAGAAGAAGGCATCCTCACTGGGTTTGGACACACTGTTCCTCCTGACTACCCGGACTGCAGATTGGTATGTTATCTATCATTGGTTGCGAAAATTCTATGATAGTTGCCTTTGTCTTCTTTTGCTTGAGAGCTACCATTATTATTCCATGAATCCTGTGGATGGTTGGTTTTATGTTTGTTTGCAGGTTCAAGAGACGCGGGTTCTCTGAATGTTCAATTGACCTGATTCCCGAACAAAGAAGGAAGAAGATCAATTTGTCTCGTAACTCAAAATACTACATGAAGAAGTTGCTTCCTGATACAAGTGGGATAACGCTCACTACCAGGCCAATCAGCTGGCAATAAATAGCAATAGGTAAATCAAGTCGTGACTTGCTACTTGTATAGATGCGCAGTATGCCTCGAATCTCTATTGGCATTTGGCCTGCGGCTTGACTTGGAATCAGAACTTAAGCAAACACTCAAGCTAGGAGTTGTTAGTGTTTATCCTGATGTATATTTTTTATTGTATAGAAGTCTGTACTTCGTGAGTTTAGAGGGGACACCAAGGATTCCCAAGAGAATGATGGCTTGCTGAAGAAGTGGATTGTGTTGGAAATGAATAGCTTTGAAAGTTATAGAGTTTTAAGGAAGAAAAACTACCACATTGGTGAAATGTGTATAAAGATAGAAGCCTCTCTCCTAAGGGCATGCCCTTCTGTCCAACTATAATTTTTCGGAGAAGTTCGTGGGTTGGTTGGTTGGTTGGTTCATCTTGAGACTAAAATTTTTTGGAGAAATTCTGAACGAAATTAATTATCTATTAATTAATTATTAATTTGTTATTCTTTATCATAGATAAATACGAGTTGAAAAAGGATAATCGATTAAAAGGAATATTCGAAGGATAATCCAACAAGATTTATCTTAACCGACTCGATTTTAATTAAGGAGTGATTATCTCATTAACTAGTAACTACCGTGACTTGTTCCCCACGAAAGAGGAACATTCTGGGGGACTCGGCTCCTATAAATATTAAATAGACGACCCCTCAGACCCTTTAAACACACCACAACGAGCAGAAACACAATAGAGAGAGTGTTCATAGAGCTCCGGTTTTCGCACAAAACCGCGAGCATACGAAAGGAGCTGTTTTATCCTGGAGACGACCGGTTGATAGTATGCCGTGCGCATCGAGGGTAGTACGCAAACGTCTTAAAGAGAGCGACCTAGTCCACGACTCAGCTCCAGATTCGGTAACCTCGTTCTTGGTTGTTGTTCCGTTTCGAACAACTTGATTATGTGAGTATGATGAGGAGTAGAGGGTGCAGGCAATGATAATGTTGTTCAAGGGACATGCCCTGAGTTTGTGGAAGACAAACCGGAGGGGCAGATTATCCCTCCAACAGTGACCTACTAGGAGTTCATGAACATGTTTTGGGCTAATTTCTTTCCTCTTGTTGCATGATTGTACGACAAACAAAGCGAATTTGATGACTTCAAGGAAGGAGGTATGTCAGTTTTGACATATTAGTTATTACATAAAGTTCTTTCATATGGCGGAGTGTGACATTGAGACGGACCGAGATAAGAAGTTGGCCAAGAATTCTTCGGAACCTCAGATATACAATTCAGGGGGAGTTTCCACCGATGGTATGTGTAGCAGCCATTACCTACATCAAACACGATGCCCTTAGGAGGGAAAACTTGGAAAGGGCCAACAGGGAATCATATGTAGACGACATAAGAGGAAGGCTCATACCCAGCCGTTCCATTTGGGACCAATCAGCCAGCGGCTGTGGAGGGATAGTATGCTTTTAGTGTGGCCAGTCTGGTCACCTCCGACAACAGTATCTGTAACTCGTCATAGCACTTGTATAGTCAGTGAGATCAGTTCAAGGGCAAAAAACAACATCGTTGGTAGGTTTCAGGGGAAGGCCGGGAGTTATTCTGGAGGTTGGGGTATGAGGGCTAATTCAAAAGCTCTTCAACATAATTTCAAAAATTTGGTACCGTTTTGTAGAGCGCGTCACCAGGAACATCCCATTGCTCACGAAATCGAATTCGAGCTCAAACGAGAGACAAACGCGATTTGGAAATTTCCGATGTAAAATAGTCTAATATTTAAGTTCTAAAACTATCTCAGACTTTTCAAAAATATGAGGTATCATTCTGTATATTTGTATACTAATTGTAATCGGCTCGTAATTTCTTCATTTGAATGACGAACACTTCCTGCCTACAAAATTGTCATGATAAAGGGAATTTATAGGACCCGAATTCTGAAATGTACAGAATCCGTTTCCGACTGTCAAAAAATTGAGATGTGTGTGTCCAATAAGGAACCCTTGATCATCATATTATTTATATATATTACATATACGGATGTTTAAATTAAGTAGGTGGATTATATGTGATCAGTTGGTGATAGTTTGATGATTTTAGTTGATTATTGTAGTGATTATTTAAGGATGGTCGTAAAAATTAGGCCAAAATACCAATAAAGGCCTCGTAGTTTAGGGTTTGTGTCAATTGTATCCTTATGTTTTGGATGAGACAACTGTGTTCGAAAGTTTTAGGATTTGTTGTCAATAATGTCCTTAGATATTCTGTTGACCGTTAGACTTATGGTCAACTGACGACAGTCAACTTCTTCTTCCTCAAACCTAATCATGACGATGCAATAATGGTGTCAAATGTGGGGCAGGGGAGAGAGATCCCACTACCGCTACCAATATTGGATCTGGAGGTAGGGAAAGAGCCAAAACCGGTGTAAACCGCAGTTGCAGTGTAAACGGTGGAAGATAAGGTTGACGGGTTGCGCTTGACTTCTATGAAGGTGACGATTGTTACTACTGTTTGAACGAGGGTGTTTGTGTATGGGGAATCTACATTACCTTACACTACTCCTAAGGAGATTCCTTGAGATCTCTGCGACTACAACTAATAATACTTCTATTGAGGATCTTTCATGAGGGAGAGCTCCACAAACTACAGAGAAAAAGGAAAAAAGGAAAGTTGAGACAAGTTATCCATGTGTTGGGTTGTGATTGTCCGTCTTGCTTTAGATGGTTTCCTTAAGTTTGTTGTCCACAGTCGTCCAACTGCTCTCTCTCTCTCTCCTCCTCCACAAAAGTGGCTCCGCTTAGCCTCTACGCGAGTCAGATGTCGTCGTAAATTTACGGATACGTCGTCATGTTATAACAATCATCCACCATGCGTCATGTTAGATTGGATGGTAAGCATAACATTGAACCATCCACTTTGGAGTTGGATGGTGTCCACTATATGTGATGGTACCATCTACTTAGAGGTTGGATGGTATATATCCATGATGTGCAATGGTTATTTGTCAAAAAAAAAAAAAATGTGCGATGGTCACCATCCACTAAGAGGTTGGATGATGTCCACTATATGGGATGGTAACATCCACTTAGAAGTTCAGCGATCTCCATGAAGTGAGATGGCCACCATAAACTAAGAGGTTGGATGGTGCCCACTATATAGGATGGTATCATCCACTTTGGGGTTTGGATGGTGTCCATGATATTTGGGATGTTACCATCCACCATAGGATTGGGATGGTACCATTCACCATATATTTTGGTGTAAACAAATGTCCCTTACAACTTAGTTCATAAGAAGTTATAAACTAAAAGTTCTTGACACCAACTGTACTAGGTGCAAGTCCATAATCATCTAAATTTTCGTTTACCTAGCCATACTAGGCTCGAAACTTAAATAATACTTATCTATTTTCGGAAAAGGAACTCTTCCCATTTTTCACCCATCCAACTATCACTGAGTGAATTAAGCAAACACCTACCCCCGTATCCCCGCCATCCGTGCATCCATCTTCTAGAAAAATAAATTATTAACCATGTACATAAACCCACTTTCAATCTCTTTGTTGTTATCCTCTATTGGAAGCACATGTGGCTCCTCTTCCATTTAGCCAAGGACCCTAAAAATAATATTTATCTTTATTTAATCGGCTATGAGAAAGTCAAATAAATAAATTAATTAATCTCTAAACGACCAAAATATTGGTCGCCACCAATGCACATGACTTTATAATACTTTTCCTTAATAAAATTCTTTTCATGTAGGATACATATTCTTAATGGTTATCCTACTAGTAGAAGAGAATTCCTTCATATAAGGACACCTAATTCTTCTTATATAAATTCATGCTCAAATCCATCAACTAGGATGGTGTCTTTTACCTAAGCCACACCATCCACAAGCCAACATGGAACTACCACCTGTTTATTTATTTTTCTTATTTTATTTTATATTTTATGATAAGAGTTGGAAAGTACCACCTGTTTACACCTAAAATTAATTTTGCCCTAAAACCATATTATTGCAGCGTCGCGAGGTTAACGACGCCGCGAGCTAAATAGTATCATGGTTAAGCGGCATTGCGTTCGACGATGCAGTACTATGAAACAATGTTGTTTATAAGAGAACAATGTCGTAACTATGTCGGTTCGTGGAGAGATGGTGGTGATATCGGGGTCAGCCGATACGGTGACGAGAGGTCGGGATTTCACTGTTAGGAGCAAGGAAAACAGGTTCGCGAGGACGACGACTCTGCTAGCTAAACAAGTGTTCGGCAGTGCCGCGAGGTTAGTGCGTTCAACAATGCCACGAATCCAACGAGGTAAGGTTCGACGTGACATGGCGAGCTTAATGACATCGCGGGGGTAACAACGCCGCCAATCTCAACCTCAAACTAAACAACATCGCGATGGTCAGCACTGTCACAAGTTCAGCGGAAGGTTAACAACATCGTGGAGGTGGACAATGTTGTGGGTATAACGGTGTGTTGGTTCGACAACGTTGCGGGCCAATCGACGACGTCGTAGGATAAAACGACAATGTTGTTGTTAATAGCGTCAGTTGCAATCCTAACAACATAGTTGGAACGATGTCGTTATACCAATGTTGTTGGTGGAGGTGTGATCAATATCGTAGGTTTGTAAAAGCAACGTTGTCATTGCAAATTTGTTGCACGAGAGATTCAGGATTGAAGAGGAAATCGAAGTGGTTGAAGACTACGACCTCGAGGAGAAGAGTGAAGACACGTGGGAGTTCACGACGGGACAGTTGAGAAAGCAGTTCCACGGAGCGTAAAGGCTACGCAGATGATTTTAGATAAAATCACTGGAGAAGGAGAGAGAAAAAGACCAAAAAATAAACATAGAACAACTCTGTCAACACTTTACATTTTTCTCTTTAACTCTCTTATGGAACTCTCCTTCAAGGAAGGATCTCCATAGTCATAGTCGTAGCGTAGTCGCGGAGCTCTCCACCAGTATCTCCATAGGAGTAGTCGTAACGTAGATTCCTCCAAAAAATTCATAAACCCTCGTTTGAACATTGTTTGGAGAGGTGTGAAGCGAGTAACAATGGTCTTGGTTTTTAGAAGTCAGAGGTGCATCAATCAAATCAACACAGCCAGAAACAATTTGGCACGCCCGACAGTGGATATTTGATGGTCGTCTTGATTTAAGCAATCAGTGGTGCATCCGATCAAACGACACCGAAAAAGTTTCCACCGGGAAACAATCAAATCAACATTAGCCGAAACAATTTAGCACGTCCGACGGTGAATATTTGACGGTCGTCTTGATTTCAGCAGTCAGTGGTGAACCCGATCAAATAGCACCGCAAAAGTTTCCACCACGAAACAATCAAATCAACATCGACCTAAACGACTTGGCACGCCTGACGGTGGATATTTGGGTTCACGTAAAACATCACCACTCGTCATAGCCCTTAGTAGTAACTAAGAATCCAAAGGCATACACTTATTGCCAACTCCATTGATCAAACCACACAAGTCATCCATGCATCGCATGGCTTCCTCCTTTCAAATTAGGTGTACACACTGGAGTGACATTACATCTTAATGTTAGGTTGCATGTTCCCAACATGATTTTTGACACCTTGCATGCGGGTTCATGCTTATATGCTCGAGTTATCCCAACCAGCTCATTTGGGTGTTGACATCAACCCTTGTGGTTATGAGATGCTCTATGATTTACACCATGCATTTTTATTTCTGTTGGAATATAAGGAAAAAAAATAGCACCTTTTTTCCTTGGTTTCCCTCAAATTGCTTCATGTCTACTCTCCAAATTATTTTGAGGGGATGGGTACTTAGAATTTACAAGTCTACTGCCACCTACATGGTTCATTTGTCTTTGTTTTCAGACCCCAAAGTCTTATTAATCCACATACAATACAACCACCTTAGATCCTTTGCTTTACCAAGTCTTGTTGGTGCATATTGAGACTTCTAGTATATGCAATCATGTCCACCTTTACAATCAATGATGTCTACTGGAAATGACACATTTGCATTGTTTGCTTTTGGCAACAATGTTGATGCCAAATTAGAGGATGAGTCCTTATTGACATTATCTATCCGCCACCAATTTGATAATTGGCAGATGCGGCTTCTTTAACTTTTTTTATCAGTCAAGAATGAAAATTTGAACTGACCACTACTTTTACCATAACGTTTTGGATTGTCCATCGAAATGGAAAAATGCTCAACTTTCTCATAAACCAATTTTGGTTTACTGCCTAAACCACGACATTGTCAGTGCTTACTGTTTCAATTTTTTTCATTCGCAAAATCTTTTTCGTTCAACAACAAGATTTTTCTTGTACAATGGATGCATCATGCATAATTTCATACTTCGTCACTTCATAATCATAAACATATCTATCAATCATCCTATCACAGACTATACCAATGATATGTTCGAGATGATAAAAATGTTTATATAAAGTAGCCACGTGAAGATGTACATGTTGGTTGATTTTATAGAGTCCAACCATCATTTGATGAATCTCCTCCATCATTTGGCGGAGTGAGGGCACTGCTTCACCTGGATCTGTATTTGGTGCCAAGGGTGACAACGCTGCTCCAACAATGTTGCCTGAAGTCCCTCTCACTTGATCAATTTTAACATTAACCAACTTATCCTCCCCCAAAAAACCTTATGGAAGATCATCTTCTTGCTTCCTCCATCTCGAAGCGATACCAAACACACGTGCCCTACTAGGCGTGCCAATTTGTTAATGGTGGAAAATAGGTGAATGGATTGCGCTTGATTTTTATGAATGTGATGATTGTTACTACGATCTTCACCTCTTCAAACATTGTTCGAACAAGGGTGTTTGATGTGTGGGGAATCTAAGTTACCTTGCACTACTCCTATGGAGATTCTTTGGGAGCTCTGCAACTACAACTAAGA